AATATTATGTTAGGTTCTTGTTTCAAAATCATATAGTGTTAGGAAGAGATGTATAATAGATATATAAACTTACTCATATTTCTTTTAGTAGGTAGATTGTTTGATAACATAATAATTAATCTCTTGATTTTACAATTTCTTAGTAGTATTCCAACCTTTTTAAAAATTATGAAGAAATTAATTACCTCTCATTCATTAGTTAAAGCTAAGTATGAAGTAATATTTTATACTACTTAAAAAATAATCTGGTTAAGTACGCTACTACTTTATGACTTAATAATATCGCTTTATAATCTCAATAAGTCGTCATATATATTGCAACTAATCTCATTTTCCTTGAATAAATTAAACATATTGATATCGACTCTCAATATGATTTACGAAAGGTCTAAGTAGATAGCTTTTAATACCACAATTTTTTATCTTGACTAAGCAAACTTAACATTCCTAATGTTCATGGTTGAACTTGAGGGGAAGTATTATTACATATATTCTATCTTTTTGCCTTGTTGTGACCCTTATACATATATAAGGCTAATTTATATAGCTTGGATACACTCTTGTAACTAAGTTAATCTTATCATTTTATCTCTATCTTTTCAAGTCATATATGTATATATGTTCACTACTTCTTCAATACATATCATCTCAATTTCTTTGTAACATTTTAATTTTTAATGAATTAAGAATAAATGTCGGTTATAGTTATTTAATTAGCTAAATGTACTAGATTTCACTTCTAATAAATTGTTATCAGTATCTTTGGTTCTTAATTGTGCGTAATTAAATATACATCATCACATTTCAATGAATTACTGAGGTGCGGTGGATTAAAATCAACAATAGACTAAATTTAAAGAGAATTAAAATGTATGTAAATTAGGAAAATCACATTATTAATCATGAGTCAATGTAAACATTATCTACTCTTAAGTGTTTAATTCTTTAATTGAAATATGTTTGTAATTTCAAAAAGGAATTATTTGTCCAATTAATACTTGATTATATTGTTCAATTTTTGCCTTTATATAAGATATTATAAATTTGAGTTGGATCATATATTTCATATGTTTTTATTAAAATATTATGTTATAATTTATGTGTATATATTACTTAATTAATAAAATATATATATTTTTTAAAAATGTGGGTGGGAAAGGAAGTGAATTTTATTTAATTTTTCAATAAGAACTACAATTTATATGAAGTACACATAATAGAAACAGTACTGTATATACTATAAACAATCAACGATACAATACATAAGAGATAAGGTTCGTTGTTATCATTATTCCATTAAAATAAGAAAATCTATCCTCCGCTATAGAAGTCACTAATAGGATTAACAGCCTTGTCGTAGTTGCATGTATGATCCATGCGGCTATAGGGATCGTCTTGGTCCCATAGCCACAGGCCACTCCACAGAAACCCTTCATCTACCGCTGAGTGATCCGACCAGGACGCGGCATCTGGAGACATCACATTAGGTATGCACTGATCCTCCATGGAATCATACGTGAAGTCCACCTCTTGTCTTCCTTGTTCCCCTGTCATTTTCATTACTTCATGACTGGCAACCTGAGGTAAGATTACCCTTTTCATGCTTTCTTTATCCTGTGGCTGTACCTCTTGTTGTCGTTGCTGTTGTTTTAGAGTTTGGGCTTTTGGCTTTTCTTGCTTCTTGGATGATTTGTCTTTCTTCTTGAAATGAGTCCTCCAATAGTTCTTTATCTCGTTGTCTGTTCTCCCAGGTAAGTACCTTGCAATGGTAGACCACCTGAGTACATACAGTTATACACATATAAGGTATTTATGTACATGGGTCTGTAAGATACAACCTGTATGTTGAAAGTCCAAAGAGATAAAAAAAGACCCATAAAGGAAAAAGTAAATTACTTGTTACCCCATAGGGCATGGAGTTCAACTATGATGCCTTCTTCTTGAGGTGTCATTTGGCCTCTTTTAAGACCTGGCCTAAGATAATTCACCCACCTCAGCCTGCAGCTCTTTCCACTTCTATTCAACCCTTTGACATGCATAACATTAAACAAAGATATGTTAATCAACCACACAACTAATTTCTTTTTATCCAAACTTATAAGCTAATTCTAGTTAGTCCTCTCTTCTTTTTGTCACATAGTGCAAATATATCCAACTAGAGGTCAAGCTATGATAGGAGCATTTAGTAAGTCTGCTCCACTATAGTCAGTGCTTTCCTCTTTGTGCGTGTTTGTGCCTGAGTGGATATGTACATATGTACATATGTGTTTATGTATGTGTATCTGTCTATCTTTAATTGAAAAAGTATCATCAGAAAAGAACAATAAGTATAGTAATTAAGAACAAGAACATGACTACAAAAGTAGTACCGATAATAATTAATTACCTGCAGACCTGGCAACAGAACTCCATCTTCCATCTCCATGGAAATTGACATATTCAATAAGCAATCTATCCTCTTCAGGAGTCCAAGGACCCTTCCGACATCCTTGCTCTTGAGCTCCCCAATGCATCCTCTCTATCATTTTTCCTCCTTCAAGCATACAAATATTATATCTAACCTTTGCTTAGTTATATACCTGCTGATCAATCATCACCAGAATCTTTATCTATTTAATACCTTTCATGATCTCACAACCACAACTTAAACAAAAATTTTTCTATCGACTTTTTGCTTGGATCAATTCCTGTTATGAGATTGATAATTTCAATACTCAACTCTTACCTTTAATTAGCAGACTTAAAGTGTTTATTGTGCGGGTGCTCACCAGCTCAATGTCTTCTAACCAATTAGAAGGGAACAAGTGGTTTTTTGAATCCGTGAACACCGTACCACGTAGTTATCACTTGCTATATATTCTGATATTTTGATTCTGTAACATATAACTCAAGCCACATTGCCTCATGATCACAGTAAGATCTTATGGAGGCATAATCTTTGTTCAGCTGAAAAGGCCTAGTGGTGGGTTGTTGTTGTTTCCTTGAAAATAGCTGGTCATCCAATGGTTGTATCACATCTGTTGACATAAAAAATCCTTAATTGCATGCTTTAGGAATTATTTATTACTAATGATGTTTATTTTATAAGCATCAAGAAGTTTCTAGGATGCCAAATAGGGTAATGATGTATTTGAATATTGTGATAGAGGACGGCTTCAATGAATCATCTAGGATTATATTAACTTTAAATGCATATTTATAGCATAATTGGTATGCTCAGGTATTATTTTAATTTGATAAAGTCATTTCTTTATGCGTATACTGTCTATTTATAGGTAGTGATGGGTATATAGATACTATTCTTAATATGAAAAGGTATACCATGAGCTAACAAGATATACATGGAATTGTTAATATTATGAGAAGAAATTCTTGATTTTTTTAGTTATGCCAACAAGAAATGGAAAGCTTTATGGTCTTCTCTTTTTCAAGTTCCCTTTGAAAGTTAGCTCTATGTGAGGCAATTAGATATGCATAATAATAAACAGACAGGAATAGAAGTGAAAGGACATGTACTATGATCCTCCCATATTTGATATATATCAAGTATATAACTCAATCAACAGCCAGAATACCAAACTTTCCTTGAGACAATGAGAACCACCCATATGTATTACAGTCATTTGAAGAGATTTATAAAGTCCTCCCTGGCAAACACTTTAGACCTGCTCAATTATCTCTTTAACAGAAAACATAATATATATAAACATATATTCTGAAGACTTTGGGGCTTCTAGATACATAATTACAAAAATTATAAATGGACCCCATGAACTGGCTGATCATTAACTGCTTTTGTGATTAGAAGAGAAAAGTTCCCACTTCATTGTCAAGTCGTCAGCTATAGTCTTGTAGCTTGTGATTGCTATTATTAAATAACAAGGTATATACATATACATATATATATATATGTAAACAGCACTCACATGACAGTCATGGCTTACGAAGATTGATGTTTGCTGTCAACCATCATCGCTTATAATATTTGAAGAAACATGATTTACATAAAAGGGAAAAAGAGAGATAAAGACAAGGTGTTAGGACTTCTCTGGTTTGGCAACGTGTCTGCATCCAACAAACACTGAGTATTTGCATCACCTATTGTATTATTTACTAAATTCAAACATAGGAAAGGAAAAAGAGAAACAAATTATTGATAGAATTATCCCCATATATCTGAAACTAAAGGGATCTTGATCAGGAGATAGATGATAGTACAATAGCAGGACCTCTTCTTCTAGTAAGCATTTAAAAGGACCTATATATATAACTCAAGAATTTTGTTTTAGCATTTACATATTGTTCTTTTTTCATTAAGAAGAAACTGGTTAAGAAGCAGATCAATGCGTCATTTAAAGAATAGGATTTATATATGTATTACCTGACTTAGTTTACAAATCTCGAAGCATTTCTGCAAGTTCTACTTTATTTTCACATTTTTATCACAACTATGTATTAGGAGGCATATAGAGTGGTCCATGCATAAAGTAAAAAGAAACCATTTATCTTATAACTTGTAAGACCTTTTTTCCTTTTCCCCCAAATTCTCTCTTGCTTGTTCCCCTCTTTTTTCTTGCATTTTTAAATACACATATATGCCCCTTTGGTCTTCTCAGCCTGCTTAAGTGTCTGCTTCTTTTATTTGTCTTTCTTAAGATAAGATCATAGTATATTGCTAGAAATTATAACAAATCATGCAAGGTTTTTCTAGTTGTTTTCACTGAAAAGTGAGACATTTTTTCCAGTTTTCGTTGAGGCTTAATTGACTTTGATGAGTTTGTGAGTCTAGTATATATGTAGGTAATGGAGCTCCGCTATTAGGTTTTCTTTTTGAGTCTCTTGGAGGTAATTTAGGGTCCCTTGAATCTTGAATGCAATAAGGTTATTTTGATATGCCATGTTAAGGATATGCAATTCTTATGTATAGGTAATGGAGCTACCACTATTGGGTTTCTTTTTTGAATCTCTTGGAGGTAAATTAAGGGTTTCCTGAATCTGGAATTTGATGGGGCATGTTTAAGTATATATAATTACCATTCTCAAATCCTTACGGGGATTTTGATGCAAGTCAAGTAGGGCTTAAAGCTAACTTGACTTAATTTTTCACTTCAACTTTTATTGTTAGTTTTGTGATCTTTATTTTATATTAAAAAAAAAAAAACAAAAAAGAAAGAGAGAAAAGAAGAAGGAAACTTATGAACGTGAATAAAAAATTGATAGAAATTTGGAAGAAATAAAAATTTGGAAAGAAAAAAAAGAGGAATAAGGGTGTGAATGAAAAAGAAAAAGGAATCTGGGGGCATGGATGAAAAAAAAAAATCTGAAGTAAGTAGAAAAAGATAAAAAGAAGAATTGGATGGGCTTTAAAATAAAACCTAGATCAGAACCTCACCAATTCCTTTTTCTTTTCTTCCTTTTTCCCTCACTCGGACCCCGCCCATTCCTGTCTTCCCTTTCCTTACACGGGCCAGTCCAACAAGGGATCCAACCCGTTTCTCCCTTTTCTTTTCCTTGCTTTCTTGTTCTCTTTCCTTGGGGCAGACAAAGCCCAGGCCCCATTTTTTCCCCAATTTAGGTTTTTCTTCTTCCTTTTGTCAGGAAAGCCAGAGAGTTTGTGAAGCAAGTGGTTGGAGCGATGATGATAATATTGATTGATGGTGATGGAGACAACTCGGGGCAGATAGTAGAATCCAAAATAAACAGAGGCAGACGCAATAATGATGACAAATATAGAATAGAGACGTGGCTTCAAGAAAGGTCAAGGCTTGGATCTAGAGCAGGGTTGAGGGAAAACCTGCCCCTAAATCATTGTGTTAGAGAGTAAAGGGTGAAGGAGCTTGGAAGCGCTTGGTTTGGGAGTTACAGGAAAAGCTCTTATATGAAGTAAAAGACCTTTTCCTAATCCTCCCATCCGAAAGGTTTTTCAATGTGACTTTTCCCTATACTTCCCCTCTTATCACCCTAAACCATGACGAATTAAGATTCATGGTAAGCTAGCTATTCTGCTCTATCTATTTGTGTCGTCTTCTTGGTTGTAGTTTCTTTATGTCAGTAGAAATTTTCAACTTCTAATAATCAGAGATTGTCTTTCACTCATTCAACCATGTTTACCAAACCATGCCCGTCTTCCTATTTATTTCTCTTCCCTCATATTCATTTTTTTTCTTCTTTGTTTCTCTCTAAACTAAATTATTATTTATTTCTCTCTAGTTTTTTTTTGTTCTCGATATTCATCTCTTTTTTTATTAATATATTTACTCTTTTTCAATAACATTTATATATGTATATCTTTTTATTCTAAGATTTAGCTTTGTGATGGGGGTCAATCATTCATTTTATTGCAGCACCAGCAGTGAAGATACAAAATGTTAGAGGCATTGATTACCAAATTCAATATTGAATATGCTATAGTCGGCATTTGTAATCTTTTAATGAGTAGTGATATGGGACATGGGTTTTATATTCAATGTTATGATAGAAACATATGTGGTAGGTATAAACCAAATATGATAATTTTTCTTTCACTTGTTACTATTCCTTTCATTTGTGCTTAAAAAATTAGTATAAGTTAATTGATGAGTTGTAGATTGTAATATTGTTGGAATCCCCTAGAGGACTTGATGATGACTCTTCAAGCGAATGGTTAAATATTAAACTCAATAATACACAGTTATAGTGAATGCTTACAGTTGAGGAAAGTGCAGTCAAGAACACAATGTGGGAAAGAGCCAAACCAAGCACAAGTTAGAACTTACAAGTTGAAATGCAATTCTGTAGGTCGTAGGCCCACACTTGTTACGGCAGGAGTTATAAAAGTAAAAAAAAAAAAAAAAAGAAAGAAAATGATTAGTTACTTTTGAACATAATGCATTAAATAAATCTCTAGGAATGGAGAAAAAAGCAAGTGATTTATGTTAGAAACAGAACAAGGAAAACAATTTATGAAGACTAATTAGAAAGGAGGAAATTTTTAGATAACATTAGAAAAAAAGGGGGCAAAAAAAAAAAACTACTATGGCATTAGGAAAAGGTACAAAATAAATGTGAAATGGGCAAATAATTTATGACAAAAGGGAAGCAATTTATGGTGGCTACGAAAAAAAGAAAAATATATACTATTGCATTTAAAAAGAAATGGAAAAAAAAAATGATGTTTAGAAAAGAGGAAAAAGTTTATATGATCACAATAAAAGACTGAATATTCTACCAATTCTTTATAAATATTTCTTTGTCTTTGTGAATAAGGCCTTAACAATTAGTGCTAAAACAATTTTAATCTTTGACACAATGATTATACATTTGATAATTGCATTTCTTCTTTTTCTTAAGGCATTCAATTTTTTCATATTGAAAAGGAAATTGAAGTTACAAATATGTCTTTTATAAAAATGCATTAATCATTGTTTCTTCTATTCAATGAATCATAACATAATCTTTTTATAGAAATTAAGATAAAATTATTATTATATTATATTATTTATTAAAGTAGATAGACGCATAACGTGTAGATAGATACATGCGTTACAATCTAGTTCTAGCCGTAGGATCAAAACTTTAGACTAACAAATGAATAACTCTAGAGACGTTATCACATCGGTTATTTCAAAAATGCGTAAAAAATGGAGACGTTATAATCTATTTCTAGCGGTAGGATAATAAATTTAGAGCAGTAAATCAATGGCTAATATTCTTCTATTTCTCTATTTAAAGGGACTAAGCTTGCCCCTAAATATGAGTATACATATAGAGATTCCAGTTTCACTTTTCTCTATCTTGCAATGTATTAGAAAAAAAAAAAAAGAACGCATTTAGAAGCTCTTGGTTTCGGAGTTACAGGAAAGACTTTTATATGATGTAGAAAACTCTTTCCTACACATCTCTCATTTGAAAATGTTTTAATCAAATTTTTCTTCTACTTGCCTCTCTCATCTTAAATAATCATCGTGTTAGAAAGTAAAGGGAGAATGCACTTGGAAGAGCTTGTTTGGGAGTTATAGGAAAGGCTCTTACATGAAGTAACAGACCCTTTACTATGCCTCTCATACCAAAGGTTTTCAATCAATTTTTATGTACTTACCTATTTCACCTAAATCATCGTGTTAGAAAGTATAGAAAAAATAGGCTTGGAAGCGCTTGGTTTGGGAGTTATAGGAAAGGCTCTTATATGAAGTAAGAAACCCTTTCCTATGCCTCCCATTCCAAAGGTTTTCAATCAATTTTTTTCTTTACTTACCTCTTTCACCTAAATCATCGTGTTAGAAAGTAAAGGGAAAATGGGCTTGGAAGCGCTTGGTTTGGGAGTTACAGGAAAGGCTTTTATATGAAGTAAGAAATCCTTTCCTATACCTCCCATTCCAAAGGTTTTCAATCAATGTTTCCCTCTACTTACCTCTTTCACTACAAATTATCATGTTAGAAAGTAAAGGGAGAATAGGCTTGGAAGCGTTTAGTTTGAGAGTTATAGAAAAGGCTTTTAAATTTTTTCATATTGAGAAAAAAATTGAAGTTACAAATATGCCTTTCATAAAAATGCATTAATACTTACTTCTTCTATTCAACGAACTATAAAATAATCCCTTTATTGAAATGAGGGAAATATATTATTATATTATTTTGGTATTAAAGTAGATAGATAAATGTTGTTTAGATAGACACATGACGTTACAATCTAGAGATATTATTACATTCGTTATTTTAAAAAGGTACAGAAAAAATGAGGTTATAATCTGTTTTTGGTCATAGGATGAGAACTTTAGAGTAGTAAATCAATGTCTAATCTTCTTATAATTTTCTATTTAAAGGGATTAACCTTACCCCTAAATACGAATATACAAATAAAGATTATAGTCTCTAATTTCTTTATCTTATAATATCTTAGAAAAAAAAATGGAAAAATGAGCTTGGAAGCTCTTAGTTTGAGAGTTATAGGAAAAATTTTTATATGATGTAGGAAACATTTTCCTACATCTCTTATTTGAAAATGTTTTAATCAATTTTTTTTCTACTTGCCTCTCTCACCTTAAATTATCAATGTGTTAAAAAGTAAAGAGAGAATGGGCTTGAAAGCACTTGGTTTGGGAGTTATAGGAAAGGCCCTTAAATTTTTTCATATTGAAAAGGAAATTGAAGTTACAAATATGTCTTTTATAAAAATGCGTTACTCATTATTTCTTCTGTTCAGTGAATCATAAAATGATCGTTTCATAGAAATTTAGGAAAATTGTTTTTATATTATTTTGTTATTAAAGTAGATACACATGATATGTAGATAGACATATGACATTACAATCTAGTTCTGACTGTAGGATCAAAACTTTAGGATAACAAATGAATGACTTTAGAGAAGTTATTACCTTAGTGTTTTAAAAAAAGTATAAAAACAGAGACGTTATAATCTATTTCTAGCCATAAGATACACAATTTAGAGTAGTAAATTAATGGCTAATATTATTGTATTTCTCTATTTAAAGGGACTAAACTTACTTCTAAATATGAGTATACATATAGAGATTCAAGTCTCACATTTCCCTATCTTACACTGTGTTAAAAAGAAAAAGAAAAATGAGCTTGGAAGCACTTGGTTTAGGAGTTACAGGAACGACTTTTATATGATGTAGGAGACCCTTTCCTAAACCTTTTATTTGGAAAGGTGTTAATGAATTTTTCCTTCT